CCCAAACACCATGGAAAACACACACACAAACACTTCTCCGCAACCCTGGCTTGGTCACCCGGTCATTCATGCATGTCGCAGTGTCCAGTGCCTCAGCTGCCCAGTTGCCTACCATTCACAATGACAAGCACATCGCTGTCTCCAGCTGGCACTTTTGCGAATGTGCCAATAGGACTCCCACAGGCTGTGCTTCATTCGCTTTAACGCGTCCCATTTCTATGGGCAGACATGGATTTGACTGGAAAACAAGAGGTGTGCCAGAAAAACCAAACGAGGCTGAGGTGGTTGTTGTTGTTGCATAGCCCTGGCATTAGCCTAACCCTGGCACAGCCTGGCGTGCGCGAAAGGAGAGACTCCAGGACAAAGGTAGAACCCAGCCTAAACCAAAACCTTGTGATGCTGAGGATGTTGAAAACGATGCTGCGGATGTTAAAACGATGCCGGGCCTGAACCTACCCTAAACGGACTACCCCAAGCCTACCCTAAACCCATCCAAAACCTTTGTCCCACCGCACCAACCAACCAACCAACCAACCAACCAGCCAGCCAGCCAGCCAACCGACAAGCCAGCCAGCCAGCCAGCCAGCCAGCCAGCCAACCAACCAACCAACCAACCAACCACTGCCAGGGTTAGCCTTGTGCCAGGGCTAGGCCAAAAAACACACTTTCCGCCGAAGAAAACCCAACACAAAAACTCGAGCACCTCTGCCTAGCGTAGGCTTACTCATCAAGCCATCGTACCCTAAGCAAATCTGGCGCCCCACTCCTTGTCTTTGAAGTCTGGGCGCTCCGTCTGAGCCTGCGGCACCTAGGGCACTAGGGTTGCGGCGCCCCTTTGCAAAATGGGTCACAAAGTGATGAGCGGGCCGATGCTTTTGTCAGCCAAAATCCCACGAGTCCTGATTAAATGAGCAATACTGACTGCAAGGCCACTTGCCGGGTCATATCCTAGACCTTCGAAGCTTGAAGGTCTGCCTGCCCCGTCAATCGGCTGCCCGTTGTTGGACATCGTTCTTTTTTTCTTTTTTCTTTTTGTTTAATGATTCCTGCACCTTTTGCACTTTGAGCAGACTTGCACTTGTTGCTCGAGAAGAAAGTGAAGAATTGGACACAGCTTGTGCGCTCGAGCAGCAGAAGTGAGCACAACAAGGACATCAATGGAAGGCCGGAGATGGGAAGGACTGTCCAGCTATGTTGTAGGTGTTCGTGAGCTAAAACGCAGGCCTCGGGGCCTTGGACACGATACGCAACCAGCGCTATCTAGCCAAACATGTTTGCATCATCTTGCATCGACCACCGCACGCTTGCTGATGGCCACACGTCACCTGGCAAATCTATCATGAACGAGCGCATCGTTCGCCATATCACTGTGTTGGACTCAGTCCAAGATCATGTACAAACGTTTCAACCAACATACAATATATATATATATATGTACATCAGGGGAATTTTCAGGGCATCATATAATATGTTTTCCAAACTAACTGCAGAAAACTACTTCAACAAATGAATCTGAAAAGATCTGGCAGCACCCAACCCAGCCGCATACCGCCCAACTGCAACCAACCCCACCCCGCTTGGGGCCGGCACCCCAGAGAGGCCTCAGCATGCAAAAGTTTCACATCGTCAGGGACCAGGGTGGAGAACAACTGGCTTCAACAACCAGACCCTGGCAAACTCGAAAACGGAAACCCAAAGCAGGTGGTTGAAATACCGGCACTGCTAAAAACAAAGTTTTCAGGCGCCCTCATTAAGCGTCGGTTCTTCCGAATCTGCGCAAAACAGTTTGTAAACCGTTACTTGACATGAGTGACAGCAATGCGGAGGTTGCATCTGCAACCTGATGCGGCTTCTCTGTCTGCTGGAAGGGCAAATTCAAGCTCCCATATTCTGTGGAACCAGTGCTGGCTCCCCGCAATCAAATGGTTAACCTTCAAACGCAATTTCAAATGCAACATGATGTCAGTGGAGGGCTTGCAGGGAATACACCAGGCGACACTTTTTCGGCCGCCTCGGCTGCTCTCTGGCTGCCTCGCGCCCAACTTTAAACTAAAAGGACACAGGCGTCGGCTGACTCCGCCCGGAAAGCGGATTCCAAACATGGCAGAGGGTGCGGTGGGTCTCAACATCTTACCCCCCCAACTGGCCAAAGTTTGCCAATTTAAAGCCAACCAACAGGTTTCATAGTTTATTTTGCGAGTTCCCTTTGATGTGTCGCGCATAGTTGTGACATATAAGCGAACTGCAAACAAGCACCGCCGTGCCAAAATCTGTAAACAACCTGCGGAACGTGCCTTCATCATGGGTGGGCTCATCTTATCCCCAGGCAAGCGCGATCTCAACTAAGGCAAATCAATATCCACCAGCAACCGACAACGGCAGCAGCAGCGGCGCAGCAGAAAAAAATAATGCATGGTCCTGCATGCGCTTGTCTGAAACAGTTCTCAAAACGTCAACATATCCCCTCTCTTCTCAGGTACTCTTCTTTCAACTGAGGCATGCTTAGTTTGAGCTTGCCCCTTCTGCAAAGGATCCCTATCACTGCACCGAACGTACATGGCAAATGTCGATGCAAATTGATTGAAATCAACAGCACTGTCAAGTTTGGCACGCCCGAGTATGGCTCGGCCAGTGTGGCTCCCCCTCCCTCTCTCTCAAATTTCGGTATGGGTAACGGGGCGTAGCCACAGATCAAAGGTGACTAAAACAAGAGTAACGCTACTGACAACCAGAGGAAGACGCACCATCATGTACTGCTCACCTGGCCAATTCAATTGCCACCCTCGTTCAGCCATCACAGCCTGTGCTGCCTGTCAGCAAGCCTAGAGCATCAGGCTACTGAAACCTGGGCTGTGCTGCAAGAGCCTGCGCTCACTTGCCTAAAGGAACTGGAAATGAGCATGACAACCCTTTAACGCCCTGACAATTAAATGCGGACCCTAACCAGGAAGCCGAAAGGTCAAAAGGTCGGCATTGGACAAGTGAGACTCCAATCCCCAGAATGTGCTGGGTGATCATTCAACATGCGGGCAAGTATGAGCAAGCAAGCGGTAAACGTATTCCCACCGCGAACTGGAAATTGAACCCCTACCATTGCTATACATTTTTGTACTGGCACTAGCCAGCGGAATTGTAGAACCACTCCCTGAAGTGAGCCTGCATCCTGTAGGCCAGAACACCCGCCATGTTGTGAAAGGGCCAGAGTCTTCCCGTGTGCACCCAAGAGAAAACTCATCTAACAGGGGCTTGCCAAAACTTCATCCATGTCCGCTGCAACGCCCTTGTCTATTGACGGAGCATCGAACAGTGGCCCAAAGGTCATGTTCAGATGGGCTGAAGGGAAATAATTATAGGCACCCTGCTTCGACAGCGCCAAGCTCATGCAGCAGCAGCTTGTCATCGCCACGCCCGCCACGCTTGGCCCTCCTCGGCTCGCGCAAGTTCCGCCCACCGCCGCTGTCCCGAACGGAGCGAGCGGCAAAGCGCCGCCACCTGCGTAAAAAAAGGCGCAGGATGGTGCAGGACAAGCGTAACCAAGTGCTTGCCCTGCACGCCGGGCTGCCTGCAGTGGAGAGCACTATACATGAGAATGACAGCGTCACAAAGACTCAGGGCGACCAGTCACACCGGTGGACAACGCCATGCCAATGGGAGTTTGCAAAGCAGGAGTCAGTTACATCATCACATGAAACTTCATCAGTGCTGGTCAAAAGGCACCCACTTCCTACATCCAATGGGCTCAAACTCTTGCCCTCTATCTACAGCCGGCGACGCGCAAGGCAGCGCCGCAACAAATCCACTGCCCGAGATCCTGATCTGATCCTTGTTTCTGGATGTTCCTCGATCGTACAACTCATCCTTAATGCCCCTGCAGCTTGCCCGGCATGCTTGGGAAATGCTAGCATAACACAGGCTCAAAGCATTCTTAGACCCAACAAGGCGCAAACTACCTGAGAACCAAACTTCAGCCAGTTCAATGTGGACTTTCCCAGTTTCAAAACTGCGTTCCAGGGAGGGAGAGACAATCAGTTGGCCAGTGGTCCCGCCTCTGGAGGCTTGGGGTTGACGGGCGATGGTCTCAAATCCAAATGTTGACACTCCTGCACAAGGACACCCCAAAGGGTTCCTGAACATTGCTGAAATTGACTAATTGGGCGGAAACCCAAGGTCCCCACACCTGCAAACAGGGTCTTAGAACGGGCTGATTTGAAGGGCTTGGAGAAGATGTCTGGGCTGCAGCTAGGGGGTTTTGCTTGATTCTGAGAGGGCCGAAGCCGAAGTCTTTCTGTCAGGATCCCCCAGCTGAGCTACGGACCCATAGGGTCCTTGCATGCTGCTCCATTCGGAGGTCGAATTCAAAGCACCGCCCCAAGATCACGGTGCGCACGCAAAAAAAGCCATTGACAGAGATTGGGGCCCGGGGTCCATTGCCAAAATAAGGGGCGTCGCTGAAACGAAGACTTGTTTCCCTCTGGGATTCCATGGAAGCCACCCAAAATACTGGGGATATCTGATTACGGAAACACCCAAAGGCTGGAACCAGGAAGTTCTCTGCCTGCCGATCTGCACCGGCAACATGGCGAAGAGCTCTGGACAAGACCTCCCTGTGCCGGGCCGCCAGCACGCGTGCTAAAAGAATCGGCTGGCCGAGCCAGGTATGTTGAACCATTGCCCATGATGCAGTGCACAACCAGCGAACATGCTGATCTCTCCAGCTTTATTTTCAACTTGTTCAACCGCTTGGACACAATGTGCCACGCGTCACCCAGCTGCTAAGCGAAGCTCACAGCTACTGCTATAATCTGTGTTTGGAATTTATGCTGACATTGAATTGCATCTTGGACATGCCTCAAACAAACAACTCTTCGGACTAGTCCGTCGTACCCCCTGAGCTGGAGGCTTGGTGATCAATGCCAAGCAGGCTGAAACCACAAGACAACGCAAACAGTGAAGCTAAGTACCCTAGACGTCGCATGCAAAGCATCTTGTTCGTCAACGACTGTTTCCCTTGGCACAAGTACTATGCTTTTCACGCACTGAGTGCAGCCCGAAAGGTCCGCTACAAAGCCAAGCGCCAAAGTGAAACCAAGTCACGCGAATTCCCATGCCAGGTCGCGAGCAGGCGAGCCCTCACTGAGCCACCCTCACGAGGGAACTTCTTCGAAGCGTAAACGTGAGGGAAATGGCCAGGTCTGTCACGAATCAAGGGCTTCGAGCAACCTTGGCCACAGCGCGATAAAAGAAACGTCCCCTCCCCTCAAGACCTTCACTCACAGGTGCAACTTACAACTCATGTGACAAGCCGATATTGAAATACAGCGCCTGGCTGGCGCTTGGTACTATGTGCGATTGAAAGATCCCATCTGATTTGCAAGGCAGGTACTCGTCGCAGTCATCAACGAGGTCAAAATCTCCCACATCGGTGGAACCTTCCGCGCCATCGCTGGCTGCTTCCGACTTTGGCGACCGCAAGCCATCTGCTTGCTTGCGCTTCCTCAGCGAAATCGATCTTCTGGCGAGTGTCGCACTAACATCTTGCAGTGCCGTCCCCTGGAATTCCACCTACAAAAACAAATCCCAGGTATGTCGCAAGCGCTCCCGCACCTGACTGCACACATGCGAAGGCGCAGGAACAAGCGCAACCACAAATGCAAACGGTCGAGGGCCACTAAACCCCAAAACCAAACGGTTTCTGCAGCCAAGCATGCTGCCAAGGCGCGCTGAAACCTTCGGAGAAGGCTTCTCCCAGTACAGGGACCCCGGTTGCGCCGGCGCACCCTCGGGGAGATAGATGCCCGCCTGCCAGTGGCCCACACTCCATGTGTTGCCAGTGGCCCACACTCCATGTGTTAGAACTCATGCGCAGTAGATGCGCCCCCAAGCGAAAATCCCCTGATTTCAATGGGACACCCTCTTTTTTATGTAATTCATTCATTCCCGAGTTCCCTTTTAAGTGAGGAAACACCGGGAAAGGACTAACACATGTATGTGTGTCTCATGGTGCCCCTTGACTTCCACTTTTTGGTGCGGAGTCCGGGCTCCAGCGGCCCAACAGGCCCGGAGGATCGCCGATCGCCTGCTGCAAAGGTGGCGCCGGCAGCGGTTTCTCCGCACCCGCGAGCTCATGGATGTTGGTGGCCACTTGCTTGCTGCGGTCGAACCACTGGTGAACCTGCCATTTGGATGCTGGCCGCAAAATGGGATAGGGAGCCGGCAAGTTCGCTCGTGTCCCTTTGGCCCCAACAAGGCAATCCCAACAAAAGACGCGCTGACTCTCCAAACCCTTTCGCTTCTTTCGCTCCGTTTAGTGGAGCAGCTGAAACAGCTGCTTGGTCTCCCTCCAAACAAAAACCGATTTAGGCCGAGTCAAAGCTTCCAGTACTCATTGATACCTATGTGCGGCTTTAGCCGCGAAGCTTCAAGCAGTTCGCTAGGGTCCGGGTCAATCGGGAAATCGGGATGCTGCTTGGTCCGAAGGGAAGTCAGTCATCTTTTTGAATTTTGGGGATCCCCTATTTTTCCAGAGAAACCTTGATTGGAATGAATGTTCTGCTTGCGTCTGCGAAGCAAAAACTCTTTCGCTCTCAGGCCGGCCTCCCGAAAACGAGCGGAACTGATTCCTTCCCCGCCTTCTCCATGTGCGAGACGATCTGGTTTCGCGCCGTGGGCGAGGGCAAGGATTTGTGCGAGATGTTCACATCCTGAATGCAGTTCTTCACCTTTCCAGTAGATGGCAAGGGATTGCGCAAAGTGGAGCGCAGGCAAAACTGGTGATACAAAACCTTTTTCCAGCAGTAAATCATCTCAACGAATGGCACGACATCCAAAGCAACATGCATCTTTTGAAATGCTCGGTGAAGAGTCAAGTGTTCTTACCCTCCCACCATTTAATATGGAACCTGACAGGGGGTCCCTTTGAAAGGACAATGATCTTCCAGGACCCGCCAGATAATTGGTGGGAGGGTAAGTCAGTCAGGCAGGAAACTATGCTGCCAACCGACGCTGTTTCGCCATATGGATTTCTGAGGGTAACAGTTTGGGGTTGATCTACCCCCTATATACTCTAAACACCCACTTTTTTTCAGGTATCTTTGGAAGAACCTGGTTTTCCAAGGTGCTTCTAATTGACATCATACCCTAAACAGAGCCGGAAGTTGGAGTAGGGAGAAAGCGGAAATCAATGAACAAACCAAAGCCCATTTTGGGTGTTCCATACCCCTGGCTTTTATGAGACCTTTAAAGAGCCGTGTTCCTCCCAAACTCCCAAATGGACAAGTACTGGACATTTCGACCGAACCTCACATGGAATTGGGGGACGTGTTGCTGGACATCACTTACACAAATGGATCTATGAATAGCTCCTAGCCAAATGGTCTGCCTCCAAACCAAACAGTGGATGTCTGAACCAACCCTAAAACTCTCACAGAAAGCAAACAGAAAGCATTCCAACTCCAAACAAAGACAGACCTATGACCTATGACATACTTCTATGACATACCCATGACCTATGACCTATGACCTTTGACCCATTACATACCTATGGCATACATACCTATTGCATACCTATGGCATGTTGCCTTACTTCTTCTCATAGCCCTACCGCCCGAGGCTGGCGACAGCCCGACCGCCCGACCGCCGGGCGGCCACCACAAGGCGCCGCAGCCAGCGGTCCACGTCCGAGAAGTAGCGATGGGACGCCTGTGACAGCTCTTTCGCTCGCCGGCCGAAGCCCGGGGCAAAGCAAACCTCTCAGCTTCCTTCTCAGCTTCCCTCCACTTGGTTTGGAAATTCGTGGTTTGGTGCCACCACAGAAACCTCCAATTGGTGGTTTGGAAATGGGTGTTGTTCGGTGCCTCCACAGAAGGCTACTCCCAAAACCACCAATCCAAACTAACAATTGAGGCTCTTGAAATGGGGACCCTGGTTGGATTTATGCAAGCACAAGGGTGTGCCAACTACTGAGACTTTTGCCGTATGGGTTCGTCTCTGTTAAAGCACATCCCAACAAGAGCACCCTCCAAACAACACACGTATATTGAGGATAACCTCACCTCTGCACCTCCGACCATGGCCACTTAACTCTACCCACGACTTCGTGACCCATATTGGCTGGCTTGAGCCTTCTTCTGCTCATCTCTGGAAGCACTTGTCAAGCGCTGAAGCGGACAATATTCTTTCTGATTGCTTTGTGAGAACCGACTCAAAACCGAGAACACCGCCAAAGCGCGCCTCGGACTCCTGTGGCTTGTGCAGCTCAGGCATCGAGAAGGTCTGCCGCAGCGCCGGCAGCGCCTCCGACTTCTTGCACATCGCCTGACGAATGAAGACGGGGCCTCCAAATGGCTGTGGCTCAAATAACCCGGAATTCCAAATGGCTTGCCCTGGTAAGGAAACATGGACCAAAACCTGCGGCTTGCCCCTCCTGTTTAATTTTGAGCCACACCCAAATGAAACAGTTCTGTTATGCTGGCTCTGTTGGACCTAACAAAGTAAACAGAAAACAAAAAGAAGCAGTTGTGCTGGCCCCGCTTTTCTTAAAACCCAACAAAGTAACCCTAAACGTAGGCTCACGCAAAATCATCGCTGGATAGGCAGGGGCAGTCCTCCACGCCATCCGCGGCGGTCATCTTGGCCAGGCGACGGCTCTCTTTGTTCTGGACCTGCAGCCCCTCGGAGCCTGCAATCGCGGCTACCCATCGCCCCCCATTTTCCTAACGTTGGATTTCCCCGTCCATGCGTCGGCTCTCTTGTACCCGCAAAGGAAAGTGGAAACTGCGTGGGATGGGTAACCTGCTGTACAAAACAATAGGGGGTGTGGAATTTCGGTTTGGCCATCCGTGAGATGTACAGGCCTTTGATCTTCCGAAGGGAGAGGCCAAGAAAGCGGATGATAACCAAAGCTCGGGAATGTCGAATCTGTGCTACCTACGAGGTAGACGTCTCATCAGCTGCTTCAAACAATCATGGGTGGTGTGAAAATTGAGGATTGAGGCCGGTAGCCCACAATGTGGGGGATAAGGGTCCTGGTTTGGACAACTGTCCTTTTGAAGGACCCTGTCTGGTTCCACAATTGGTGGGAGGGTAAATGGGTCTGGAAACCCATTCATCTATCCCTGTGCTTCCTTAGTCGGACCTCATGAGCATTCAGGTGCCTTTGATTCGGAAAGGCCAATCTATACTCAGTTGCCTTCTGTTCCCCTGCTAAAAGTTTAACTTTTAGTGGTTTGATTGAGAACCCATTAGTTGGCAAAAGTTAAAGTCCTAGCGTCCAAGCAAAATGCACCTCTGCATAGTGAGCTTCCTTTTGGGGCGATATTTGAAAGAGCAAACATGGAAAATAATGCGGGTGTATCCTCAATGGGACCTTGCTTGTGGGCTACTTGGCTTTGTCTCCAAACTTGAGGGCATCCCCCTCAAAAGCGCCCAACGAGGTCGAATAGAGAAGCCGACCTTGATGTCTTGATGTTGGACCCTCTTTACACGGCCCCCCCCCCTGAACAGTGGAACCAGTCAGCTGGACCCTCTTTTCTGGCAATTTTGGGGGTCTGGGAGGGACAGTACATACTTTAATTTAGTATTGCCAATTCTACTTTAGTATTGCCAAGGTCCCCTCTCAGATTCCCAGTGCTTACTTTTGCCAAGGACCGTTTTTGCAGCAACCCCCAAAACCAGCTGGACACTAAAGAGGACCCCAAAACAGTTTTATTAAAGAGGATCTGGGTCTCTTCTGGGCACCCCCCTTTGTGTTACTGTTTGCCCGCACTTTGTTGTAAAGAAGTCATCTTAAATTTGATGGTTTGGGGAGCACTTCAAGAAAAGGATTTCCCAATGTTTGCCAGGATTTGATTGTGTTTTTTTTGCCCGACTTGTTTGCCATGTTTTTTTGCCCATATTTTTCCCAGCGTTGTTTCCGGCATTTTCCGGCCAAACAACTTTCCATAATAGAGGACCCCTAAAACAGTCACAGGATCCTGAATTAGACAAACACTTTCTACAAAAGAGGGGACTATTAATAAAGGAGGTCTAACATTAAACCCCGGTAAAATACAAGGACCAGTCCGGGCTCTTGAAAATGGATGCCCCCTATAGGAAAAATCAGTACAAAGGAGCCTTGAACCTTTCGCAATCCTTAAGGAACATCTTGCACATTATTCAAACAGCCCAGCTACTTTTGGTGATGTTTAAACCCGAAAACGAGCACACAGCCGGAGCGATCCAGACACTCAAAGGCTGATGGCTTTCGTCCATGGGGGCCAGCTATTTCTCGCTTGCCCAAGGGACCTCAATTAAAAATGACCAACAAGCTCCCATTGGGTTAAGACCCCTGGAATATATATATATATATACTTTCCAGTAGTGATAGATTCCCTTTAAAACCAACAGGGGAAACAAAACATATTCATTTCAGAAAATGGAAGCAAGGGGAAGCAAAACGTCACAGCTCGCCCAGCCTTCTCCTCCCAGCCCCACAAAACATGCATGTTCTGTTTGATCGTGGTTTTCTGGGTGAGTTCTGACCCAGCGCCCATTTCTGGGCCCACTTCCTGCCGAGGCGCGCAGCTCACGGAGCCTCTCGCGGGTGCTTGGCCGCTGCTCCGCCGTCTCCTCAACGAGCGTGGAGATGCGGCGCACCTCTTGGGACGGCCGTTTGAAGGTCGGGGCGGGGGGGGGGGGGGAGAGGGCAGGGGGTGGTGGGGTGTTGGCGGGGTGGACACGTGTCCACCCATCGGAAAGGGGAGGATGGCTGAAGAATTGTTTTAACTTTTGTTGATTGTTCCTTCTTTTTGACCTCACCAATTGAATCATTGCGAACGTTTCCCATGGTTGTGGAAATTGGCACTTTCGGAGATACTAACATGGGCCATCCCCTTTTCACAACCTGATGTGTCGAAAAAGGTGCAGCAGACCTAATATCGTGTGTATGTACTCAGCTTTGAGCCACATTAAACCCTGAGTCAGTGAAGGCAAGCGGGAAACAGTCAGTCCCAACCGAGCATGGGTGCGACCTTCCTTTTGGTTCTTCACATCACTGTAAATTGTGCAGACCTCCTTTGTGCATGCGCCTTATCCTCCCCTCTGCACCATTCTCTCTTGAAACCTATTTTGCAGGCGAAAACTCAAAATACAAACTTACAAAAGGTGGTGGAAGGAGAGATCGCAAGCAAAACAAGGGGAAGGCTGCAAAATTGACCCCCAGTGTCAACCCATACCCTCCTTCACTCCTCTTCATGGTTGCGAGACGGGTTTCAGGGCTTCCCTTCCGAAATGCCAAGGAAGTAGTCAAAGGGTATACAACCATGGTCAGGATGCCAGGGCAAAGCGCGGGTCAAGCCATTGGTTGACTAGGAGGCCTGGCTGGCATCTCATCATATGAAGCTATCGGACCCATGGTGAAAGCCTTTCGGAGTTGATTGACCCAACGTGAAGCCATTAGCACCGAGTAAACAGCAAATCACCTTATAGGATTCATACAGGGATTCATACATGAAATCGTTCATGCAGCTTTTGATATGCAGCATGGCATCTTTCGCGTGCCCAACCCTCATTCCTGCACTTCCATCTGTGTTTTTGGGAGGGCAAAAAATGTGAAAGACGGGCGCAAAATGCGATGGCCGAGGATCGTGAGGCTCGGGGTGCTGGAAGGCTTGCGAGCCTCGCAAGATATGGCGGCCCAAGCCCCCACAAAGCCCCCGCGAGAATGGCTGGAGTCTGGCCGGGTCTGCACACTCGACGTCGATTCGCAACAAGCGGACTGCCCAGGTAATGGACTTTCATCATGGAATCATGGCTCGATTCGCGAGCGTCCCCCCCCCAACCGGTTGGGCGGAAACGTGGAACAGAGTAATTAAATCCTGCTGAACAAAATGACGGCCTTCTGAGAAATACGTGTGAATGAGCGCCTGGTTGTAGGTACTTGAAGCTACTTGTCCCAAGCAAAGGTCCTAGAGCGGTTAAACGCTGAGATGACGACGGGGAACAAAGTCATAGCCGCCCAGAAGAACCTAATCGTTGGAAACTTGACCTCACATTGGCCACACCTGGAACCCCCAAAGGTCTAGGGTCGATTTGCTTTGATCACCTGAGGGTCGTCACATCAAACACCACAAGGGCTTATCAAAACTAGGGTATCGTATCTCAAACATGTTGTTGTCCCCTCAAACAGCAAAACAAACAATATCCAAATCAAAGGGGCTGCCCCGAAAACAAACACACCAAAGAAAGCAGGAGCAGACTGGCTATGCCAAGCACGCTTGTTTGTTTCTTTTTGATTCTCGGGCCTCCTGTGCTGCCAGCAAAGCCTGCCACACGCCCTGCGAGCCGAAAGGCGCGGAGCAGGTTGGGCCAATTCCTACTCCTTTGAAGATCCTTAGAGGAACACCACTTCGAAAAGACGAATCACCTCATCCATCTGGCATGGACCTTTTTCAAAGAGCCCCGCAAGACAACAGGGCGTTCATTCAATGCAACAGCATCGACATGAGGCTTGGGGACTTTCCTCGGAGCGGGGTGCCAAACGTGGCCGATCCGAGGCGAAACCTGCTTGCGGTGAACGTAGATGGCATCATGCCCTTTCTATGGGCAAGTTGTTTTAAAAGGGATGCCTACACCGCAATGGAGGGAATATCTACTTTCACCTAATTGTACCCTAGATCCCACCCCAGCGTAGCTCTCACAGTGCAGGGCGGCTTGCTCGCTGGATCGATCCGCGCCTCGCAAAGAGGCGGCGCTTTCCACACGACGCATGGGCCACTCTTCGCGAGTTTCCTTGGCCGATGGTGGCTGACGGGCGGGTGGGTGGACGCTTGGATTTTAGGATGATTAGCTCTGTCTGCCGTGATTTGCGGGACATGCTGAGACAAGTGAGGCGGACAGTCATTGGAATCCTTTATCAACAGCTTCAATAATTTTAATCGCTGCTGTCAGGAACCTCCTAACAAGCTTTCACTCGGGTCTAAACGGTACATATTCCTGCGGTATTTGGAAATTCCGCGTTTCTATCGTGCGCATGTTTTTTGCCTGACGAGCGAGCAGTACGATTTATTGGTAGCAAGCGGCCAGAAATAGCTGAGCAAGGCACGAGGGGCCTGTGTGAGATGAAATCTGGTGCTTGCCAGGCACGCAGAATACAACCGGTATGAAAAGGCCCATCTGCACAGCAGCTAGAGCTCGGGAAGGACAGGCAGAACTCATCTACAAGAGCATGCAGCATTTACATCTTCATCCCCTGCTCGCTCAAAAGGCCTGCGCCGTCTAAACCATGCACACCAGTCTGTAGGGCCCGAAACGGGGCTTGAGTTCACAATGGGTTGCCCTAAATGGGTCTCTCCAGATTTTAGAGGGCTGTTGTTTGTCGATTGGAATGCATGTCACCCGCTTTCGGCCGCCGTGTTCGGCCACTTATGGCCGCTTCGACAGCGACTTAGCGACGGCTGACTGGTCCCAGGGGCGTAGCCGGGCGCATAACCAAAGGCCCCAGGTCTTGCCGTCTGCGAGGGCGTCTTTTGGGCACTCCTCCGCGGGAAAGGTTGGGCGTACATGAATCAAGCAGTGAATGCGTCAATGGATCATTTGGCCGTGGGTCACAACTGGGTACCCAAACTGGAACCCTGGTAAATGGAACCAAGGACTAAAATCTGCGGTCCCCTGGTGCATAAAAATTGTTCCATACCCATTTGACAAACCGACGAAGAATCAAACCACACACGTACGCATGTTTGTAAGAAGTAGATACATCACATAGTAAACCAGTGCAACAAAACCTAGAACATCACGAAACCGTGCACAAACTACGCTGAAGCAACACCTACTCGCCGCAGCAATGAAGCGTAGTTCTGGGTTTTCACACAAAAGAAACGAGCAAGAAAACAGCTCAACTTAAAAAGCCGAATGAGCTATCCAAGTCTTTGAGCTAGTTCAACTGTGTGCTGCCACTGCGGCAGGTATCCGTTGTTACCTGTAGATTGTCTGTGATCGCTCCCCTGCTTCCCCTAACATGTTGAGTGGACCCGCTTTGGGCTGGATGAACTTTCGGATTGATAAGACCAGTGGTTTCCGCTGGCTATGACAGGACCAATTCGGACGTAGTAAACCTATCCGCAGCCGAATCACCGATATGATCGCTTCTTTCGCATGGGTGTCTCCTGACCATGAAATCTCGGCCTCGGCCCTCTCTGCTGTTCTAGGGATTTGGCCCCATCATCCCTTCTACTAGAAGATGTTCACTCAAGACAATGCGCGGCCAAAACCGCGCCAAAGACTTGCCATTCAAGGAGACAAAACCGCTTGTTTGCCCGAATGGAGTCCAACATTTCGCCGTTGAGTGATTCCCAAAGTGCCCGAAAACCGTGTTGGTTCCAATTCCCAGGATGGAGGAATACCTGACAAGAAGAAGCGAGTCACAGGGTCCCTCCGCCGCAGGCAGGTTATTAGGACCTTCTGAGATGCAAGATGCTCAGGCGCTCCTCTGAAAGAAGCTTTGGCTCGTGGCCCGGACTGATTGCCGGCGCTGCGGGGACTTGGGCGACAGCGTTGCCGTTGGCGAAAGAGAGTCCTGCAGGCTGGCCGCCCGAAGTGGGACTCTCAAAATGGGGTCTGTCTTCCAAATGGGGAATCCATTTTTGGATGGCTTTGAAGGGAACCCAAAAAGGAAAGCAGTGGAACGTTCCTAATTGTGAGACACGCTCATGTGCCGTTTGACTCCCCAAATCTGCCACAACTACATCTGCTCATTTGCACTCTTTCAGCCCACCGCCATGTGCAAAGGGGGGGGGAATGCTCCGGAAGGCAGCTGCGTAGGCTAACTGAAATGTGCATAGATCTTAAATCTGTATGTGTGAAATAGGGGGACCCCTCCAAAATGGTAGTTCTCCTTTTGCTTTTTAAACCAACCTGAGAAGGCGCTCTCAAAAAGATAGTCATATGCCTCATATGTGTTTGTGCTATTGAGTTCGGTTCGCGTCAGTGTTCAGACGCCACCACCCGCCCCCCTGCTGGACCCACAAGGCTGCCTGCTGGGTTTGGCCCTTCCTTTTGTTTCAGTGCAGTTCTCTTCCAAATATCTCTTAAATCAGACCTTTGGGGGGTGTCAAAACATGGAGTGGCGCAGGCTCAGGAACAGGCCAAGATGTAGCAAAGAACAGAAAATGTCCCAGCCACCGTTCTCACGTTGTCCATTTGCCAGACCTGCACACACAAATGCAGGTAGCCGAACATGCTCACCGAAAAGGCAGCTGCGTGAAACCGCAAGCTGTGACCCCAGCAGCCAATCTGAATAACTCAGGGAGCGGCAAGAAACAAAGCAGCCACAGTGACTGCAATAACTTGAAACACACCTTGTCAGTCCTTTGGAAAACTGACTCAGTGCCGCGATACGCTTGCATGACACTCAAAGACTTATACCCCTCCCACTAACTAATTAACATGGAAATGCACAGACCTCTCCAGAAAGACTACTTTCCTCTAGGAAAAGGGGTTTGTGCACTTCCACGTTCGTGGACGGGTACTCCGCAAAGCTTCTAGCGCACAGCTACTGCATGGCGCTTGCGAAAGGTCACAAAGCATGGAGCCAAGCCCTCAACGATTCATCCAAGGGTTATTGTGCCCTTGAAAACTTGCCATGGGCAGGATGTTCTGCTTTTGGGGGGTTCAATGTTCAACCAGCAGGAGCAAGGTTCAAACTGTTTGAGGATTGGGCCTTTGGGGGCAGGGAACAATCTGCACGGAGTCATTTCTTTCATCCTGAATAAGACAAATCACAAGGGGTCTTCATCATGAACCGCTCGTTGTAGCCAAGGTGAGCTAGCTAAACGTTGACAAATAGCCGCAAGATCAAACTATGTCTGCCCGCATTCTGGTGTGACCTGAAGGACTTAAAAAAATGGCTAAACAAACATGGACTATGTAGCTTAACAAGTGAGGTTTCCCCGTCCATCGAGCCCAGTTGTTCGCCTCCTGCCAGCGCGGCTCGCGCCAGCTCGAGCCGGGATTTGGGCCCAGTGCGGGAAGCAAGCAGCCACCTGCACCGAGGAACCAAAAAACCGATGCGTGAGCATGGTTAAAACTTCGTATCAGGGCCATGGTCATGGTTTCCGTGTGGGGAATCACGAGCCTAAGTTGTCTGCTGTCGCTGGTATATGCTACACGCGCACATATGTCACGAATGATAGATGAACATAACAATAACTACACATATTTCTATACATACCTATAGGAACTCATATCTGAATGTCTCTCTGTATGTCTGTGCATGTATATATGCAATCCGTAATGTATGAAACGTGTGTAACTCATGCATGTAATGCCTGTCAAGCATGCATTCCATGTTCTGTGTGGGCGAGGAATGTATGCAACATATGTAACACATGGGAGGTATGTAAGGCATGCAGGTCGCATGTGTGCACGTATGTATGCCTGTATGCCAGAGTGTTGCTGCATATCGGTATGCATTTATGCATGTATGCATGTATGCAATTATGCATGTATGTATGTCTGTAGCTATGTATGTCTGTAGCATGCATGTATGTATGTACGTACGAACGTACTTACGTATGTATGTCTGCCTGCCTGCCTGCCTGCCTGTCTGTCTAAGTGGATATATATATATATACACTTAAATATGCCATGGATGGATGGACAGATGGATGGATGGATGGATAAAAGTACGGAAGCATGGAAGCATGCAAGTATGTAAGCATGCAATACTGTAAGCAAGCAGGTATGCAAGTATGCAAGTATGCAAGTATGCAGGTGTGCAAGTGTGCAAGTATGCAAGTATGCAAGTATGCAAATATGCAAGTATGTAAGTATGTAAGTATGTACGTACGTGTGCATGGGAGTAAGCATGTAAGCATGTATGCAAGTATGCACATATGCAAGTATGCAGATATGTAAGTAGGCATGTATGATGATGCATGTATGTACTTCATGTTACGCTATGCATGTATGGTTGTGTGGTTGCCTTGTGTATTGTGTATGTCTGTATGTCACTTGGCCCTGCCTCGACGTAGCTGAAACCTCTTCCGAAAAGACACATGCTGGAGGTCATGCATTGAATCCAAAAGCGTATTTGATCCCGCGTGCGCAGAAGTGGAATAATATCTCATGTTCGCCACTGGACTAAAGATTCCGGACGCAGGCATGGTTCAAGGTCAGCTTCAGAAAGGGTTATGCAGCTCCACATTTGAGCACTATCAAAACCCGCTTAGCGAAGTCTTCTTGTGTTATCCCCTCATGGGGGACATGGAGACCCTCAGGGAAGACTGGAAATCCAGGTCCAACACGACATCCTTAGCCTTCCCCAAGGGAACATGTGGCTGAATTCCACTGGCCCCCGTCCCATTGAGCAGGCAGCTCCTCACAAAATCCCATACATTCGAGCCAAAATACGCAAAGCTCAGGTACCTTCCAATTACATGGATCCTGACGTTTGGGGTGTCCGGGTTCGGACCATTTCATCCATGTTCCTTTTAAAGGGACCACGGGTCCCTGCCAGGTTCTGTGTGGATTGGAGGGTATCTGCATCAAAATTCCAGCCAACTACCTCAGAATCATCCGCATTGAAATTCCAGCCACATATGCAAAGTGGACGCAAAGTTGAAACTCCAACAATCCAGGTATCCGCAGAGTTGCCGCCCTTTTCCTGTTTCCTCAAACCATTTGGCCTCGGCTGCCTTGGCCCCAACAAAAAAAATGATCCATCCGCGCCTCGTGAGCTCACGTAGCTGGACATCTCCTGCAGCCGGGTGTCCTGGCTCAGGCTGGCCACCGTCTGGCCTGGGGACTGCGCTGTCCGGTTTCGGACTTGCCGAGCGCAAGGGGGAAGACACACAGCCCCAAAAACCCCCAGCAACCCACAAGATAGTGGGCTTTGATGGTACTTCTGTTTGTTTTGATTTTCCGAAAGAAAGAAAAGAGATGACAGAGATAATACGATGATGGAAGGGTATTGCTTGTGTCCAAGCCTTTCCTGTCCTCACCCTCCGTCTCTCAGCTATATCTCTTTCTCAAATTAAATGATAGTAGGTCATGGAGGTGAATGACAGAAAACTCTTTCTCTCTGCCTTTCTTACACACAGCCCAATCAAGATATTCTTGAAGGTGGGAAGGGAAATAGCCAGAGATGATAAAATAAAACATATGATGGACAGGAACAGATTAATAATACAAGAATTACAGAAAGAAGAAGAAGAAGATAACAACAATATAGAAACAGCTCTCTCTCTCTCTCTCTCTCTCTCTCTCTCTCCCTCACTGCGCCATCCCGAAGGTCCAGCTGTTTGGCGCCGCTGCTCACAAGCAGCCAACAACATACAGAAACATTATCAAATACTAATTTACGAGCTTGGACATGCTTACCTCTGTTTACATCTCATGTTGTTATAACTCTAAACGAAGAAAAACACATATCGTTGATTGACAAGCGGTCTACCTCTCATAATCATTTTACCTAATACATGGTCTTTCTATTTATTCCTCTTTTCCTTGCCTTTACTATCTGCATGGTCAATATGTGTATCGTCTATTGTCAAGCTTCTGTAATTATTGTCTCACACATCCGTCTCTACACCAGCTCGTGAAAAGGAGAGTGAGAAGAAAAAGACAGAACGTCTCAGAGATAGTAACGAATACAGTAGTGAGAAAGAGAGACAGAGAGACAGTTAACTTAACTGTTAGTTGACTCTCATCCTCGCCCCTCTCCAGGCTACTTAAAAAAAATAACAAACAATAAAATGGCGAAGATAAGACTTCGCTCACCATCTCTTTATTACTCTATCTTAGAATCTCAGGATTCATTGTCTGGAGGTGATGGAAAGAGAGATGGCAAAATATATAAATAATGAAAGGACGATCTACTGATTCTAATGAAATATCATGTCCTTTATCTTTGGTATAATTTATTAGTTTAACTATTATTTGTGTTTAACAAACGCCACTATGTAATCAATTAACATGTGCCCTTTCGATTTCCTTACTAATATGTGTGTTTGTACTTTTGTGATTCACATTGGTGTCTTCATTCATGTTATCTCTCTAATTTCCCTGTACAAGTGGGAAAGCAAAAGCAACATTGATTGACACCTAGCCCCCCTCCCACATGGAACCCCGAAAAATGATCGTGTTGAGAGGATGGGTAGCCCCTTTCCTCTTCAATGTGAAATTGCGTGATTTGGCATTTTTCGCTGTGATGTCAGTCCCTTTTCTCGTTTCACAGTTGATGTATCAACTGTCTTCATCTAAGAAGCCCGGTGGCCATGTGACAACAGTGCGCCGTTCGTTTCGTTGGACAGTAACGGGAACCACGGACAACTGAGTCATAGACAGCCAACACATAACCAAAACCAGCCTTCCGAGTGGAAAGCACTTCCAGTAGGTCCCTCTGAGCATCTGTGCTTCAAACACTGCAGCAGGAGGGCTGTTCGGCATCGCTTTGACATGAGCCAAGGAGTTGCGCGAAGAGTGGAGTGCCCCCTGTTCATTGTCTACAGTGGGTCTACAAGAGGCATTGCAACAGTTGTCACTGGAGTTCCCAAATCATCCACGAAACAAGCGACTTTTGAGCAACAAAACCTAGGTAATCTGTGTTTTGCCACTTTGGCTATAAAGGCCAATGTAGGTCTCACGATGATCCCCCATGAAACTATGTTGCAGGGATCCAGTCAAGTTTTCCACATGCGCTTCCCCTTCTCACGTGCGTTGGTCCAAACAAGCTGGATACTGGAGGAACCAGTCAGGCACGCAGCCTCCAAAGAGTGCCTGGAAAGCAAACAAAGCCATCTGTCCCTCATGTTGTTCATCCCATGTTGGCTTCCCTTAGCGTAAATCAATAAGTCAGTGCTATACGGGCTATTTGCCTTTCGACTGCACCCGTTTTGAAGGTTGACAGCTTAAAGGGAAAACAAAGGATAACATTGATTGTGTCCCTTCTAGGCAATTGCTACAAGGTCCAAACTGGAAATAAGGAAACCGTCTAGTCTAGCACCTTCATCGGTGAGCTCGGCTTCTGCCAAAGGTGAGCTCGCCATAAGTTGCCCCCTGTGCTTGGGCAAGGGGCTGGCCGACATACTTCTGGGCGTGCTGGGCTGAAAGCCAAACCTCGCCGAAACCCATGCTTGATCGGAGAGCCCTGATCAACAAGACCTCCCAAAAGGACACGCTGGGCACCAATCAGTGTGCTATGTTCCCCTAGCAAAACGCAGTACCATCCCCACACCTAAGGGCAGAGAAAAAACTTCAATGAGGGACCCATAAATTGTCCCGTGACAAGGGATGTCATGTATGAAGTGGGGCACTCATGTTTTGTTTTTTGTTTTTTTCTCCCAGAAAGGGTGGGGATTGCGAGACGTTCCTCTCTGGCTTGCAGTGCTTCCCCTGGATTTCCCTTCCTTCCCCTCTGACTTGCCCTCCTTGCAGTGCATTGTTGCAATGTTGCTACTGGTGCCTGGGTAAGTCATTCCTACTGAAAGGGCTGCCAGCCTACCTACCTACCCACCTCCTACCAAACTACCTGCCAGCTATTTCGCTAGCTATCTATTTATCCATGTGCCTGCATGTCTGCTTGCCTATGCCGCTCTGAAAAAATCCACGCTGGTGTCTGACTGATGCAACCGGTGTCTGCTTCTTGCTATGTATGAGACGACATTGTCTGGAATGCATGGGACATTGAAGGCATCAAGTCTCAGAAGGATTTCTATGCCAGTTCCCCAAAATGATGCAAAATCTTTAAGCGATTGGAGGCAACAAGCACCTTCCCCCTAACAGGACATGGGTTTTGACCCTGTCCAGCTGGATCCAAACCGCCGAGCAAGCCTCAAAGTAATTCGGGGCCCACTGCAACGAAACCAATCCCATAGAGTGTCCCATGTCTGGAAATGTTGTCTAGTTCTCATGGTGCTCAGTCCTCACTTGCTCATTGCATCTCAAAGCTGTGCCGAACCTTCTGCCCCATGGCTGCAAGCCTGTCGGTTCATCAAATCACTTTGAGATCATGCCATGGACGAGTTCTCTACTCCCCCCTAGTTTGTGGTTTGGATTGGTGGCTGGTGGTTAAGAGGTGGTTGCCCATTTACCCTCTACAACCACCAGAGGTTTAAATCCCGAACCACTAATCCAAACCACCAATGAAGGGCCATCTGAAGTTCTTGTCCTCAGCGATTTCTGATTCAGCGTGCCCCGCCGACACCAAAACACGCGTGCGCGCTTTGAATTCTTAGCCCCGAGGACGCGAAACTCTTAGCCCCGACTGCCGCAGCCTTTGAATAGCACTGTCAGTTGGGCCCGACTGCATGGTTGGTCTGATCTCCCTTTTCCTTTCAAAAACCAATTTGTTCAAACAACAAAGGTCGACCGGATATTTTGGCGGCCTGAAACCCGTCTGGGCATGTTTCAACCCAAGAGCACCCCCAACAAATTGTGTTTTTTCCCGTCGGTGTCGCCTTAAGCCAACGTCAGGGTACCCACAAAACCTGCCCATGGCCCGGCTCTCTACAAGAGGCGGCTTCTGCTCGTACAGCTGACCTGGCATCGGTGTTTCCGGGCAGAATCAAAATGGTTGGCTTCTGTGTGGCTTTCCCGAACCCAAAAACAAACGTGTGTTCATGTCGTGTGTCCTTGTGGTTTTCCTTGTCAGCTCACCATGTTGACTCCGGTACGCAGTTCTCCTAACCCCCTCCCGCCCAAAAAACAAGCAATGCTTTGGAAACACACTCATCTGCAAACAACGAACAACGGGACGCCGCACGAAAAGTGCTTAAAGCATTTCTTAAGACCGAATGTTAAAGCATCCCGCTTTGGGTTTCCCTTCAAAGAAGTCGATGGTCTGGTTGAAAACACTGTTTGCCAAACTCTAACCGTACAATTTTCAGCCCACTCAAGGGCAATTAATTCAACCTTGCGCCCAACAGGGTAGGTACATCGCTCAAAAAGGAGATAGGGGGAGCAAGCCTTTGCAACAGAAGGAATTCACTTAGGAACTGCTCGGAGCAATCCTGTTGGAAGCCATCCAAAGGGGTGCACAATAGAGGACCCCTATTTTTCCTTTGGTTTCTTGCGCATTCCCATATCTTCTACACAGCAAGCAAGTCAAGCAAACCCACCTTCTCTCATGCCCTTCCCCCTTTTTTTCTGGGAACCAGCCAATAAACCAACCTCCTGAAAAGGAGGAACCAACCTCAAAAAGGGGGAACCAACCTCAAAAAGGGGGAACCAACCTCAAAAAGGGGGAACCAACCTCAAAAACGGGGAACCAACCGCAAAAAGGGGGAACCAACCTCAAAAAGAGGAAACCAACCTCAAAAAGGGGGAACCAACCTCAAAAGGGGGGAACCAACCTCCAAAAGGGGGAACCGACCTCAAAAAGGGGAAACCAACCTCAAAAAGGGGGAACCAACCCCAAAAAGGGGGAACCAACCTGAAAAAGGGGAACCAACCTCAAAAAGAAGGAACCGACCTCAAAAAGGGGGAACCGACCTCAAAAAGCGGGACCAACCTCAAAAAGGGGGAACCGACCTCAAAAAGGGGGAACCGACCAACCTCAAAAAGGGGGAACCAACCTCAAAAAGGGGGAACCGACCTCAAAAAGGGGGAACCGACCTCAAAAAGGGGGAACCAACCTCAAAAGGGGCACCAACCTCAAAAAGGGACAACCAACCTCCAAAAAAGGGCAACCGACCTCAAAAAGGGGGAACCGACCTCAAAAAGGGGGCCCAACCTCAAAAAGGGGAAACCAACCTCAAAAGGGGGAACCAACCTCAAAAAGGGGGAACCGACCTCAAAAAGAAAGAACCAACCTGAAAAAGGGGAACCGACCTGAAAAAAAGGAACCAACCTCAAAAAGGGGGAACCAACCTCAAAAAGGGGGCCAACCTGAAAAGGGGGAACCAACCTCAAAAAGGGGGAACCAACCTGAAAAGGGGGAACCAACCTCAAAAAGGGGGAACCAACCTCAAAAAGGGGGAACCAACCTCCCAAAAGGGGGAACCAACCTCAAAAAGGGGGAACCGACCTCAAAAAGAGGGAACCAACCTCAAAAGGGGGGAACCGACCTCAAAAAGGGGGAACCAACCTCCAAAAAGGGGCAACCGACCTCAAAAAGGGGGAACCGACCTCAAAAAGGGGGCCCAACCTCAAAAAGGGGGAACCGACCTCAAAAAGGGGGAACCAACCTCAAAAAGGGGGAACCAACCTCAAAAAACCTCAAAAAGGGGGAACCAACATCAAAAAAGGGAAACCGACCTCAAAAAGGGGGAACCAACCTTAAAAAGGGGAACCAACCTCAAAAAGGGGGAACCAACCTCAAAAAGGGGGAACCAACCTCAAAAAGGGGGAACCGACCTCAAAAAGGGGGCCCAACCTCAAAAAGGGGAAACCAACCTCAAAAGGGGGAACCAACCTCAAAAAGGGGGAACCGACCTCAAAAAGGGGGAACCAACCTGAAAAAGGGGGAACCGACCTCAAAAAGGGGGAACCAACCTCAAAAAGGGGGAACCAACCCCAAAAAGGGGAACCAACCTGAAAAGGGGGAACCAACCTCAAAAAGGGGGAACCGACCTCAAAAAGAGGGAACCAACCTCAAAAGGGGCACCAACCTCAAAAAGGGGGAACCAACCTCCAAAAAGGGGGAACCGACCTCAAAAAGGGGGAACCAACGGGAACCAACCTCAAAAAGGGGAACCAACCTGAAAAGGGGGAACCAACCTCAAAAAGGGGAACCAACCTGAAAAGGGGGAACCAACCTCAAAAAGGGGAAACCAACGGGAACCAACCTCAAAAAGGGGAACCAACCTGAAAAGGGGGAACCAACCTCAAAAAGGGGAAACCAACGGGAACCAACCTCAAAAAGGGGGAACCAACCTGAAAAGGGGGAACCAACCTCAAAAAGGGGAAACCAACGGGAACCAACCTCAAAAATGGGAACCAACCTGAAAAGGGGAACCAACCTCAAAAAGGGGAAACCAACGGGAACCAACCTCAAAAAGGGGGAACCAACCTCAAAAAGGGGAAACCAACGGGAACCAAGCTCAAAAAGGGGGAACCAACCTGAAAAGGGGGAACCAACCTCAAAAAGGGGAAACCAACGGGAACCAACCTCACAAAGGGGAACCAACCTGAAAAGGGGGAACCAACCTCAAAAAGGGGAAACCAACGGGAACCAACCTCTAAGTTGGTAAGGTTCGTAAAACTTTTCAACGCAGGCCTGCCTCTGGTCAACCTGCTTTCTTTTTTCAGATTCTAGACATGCCTCTCCCGGGTTGCTGCCTATTTCTAGGCCTACCTCAAAGGTGGTTATGCTGAAGTGTCGAATTTGCAAATCCCGTTGGTTTTGCAGCCTTCCTTTTCCATATTGTCTTCAGTCTTTTCTGCAATGGGTAGGCGGGGATGGTTTTAGCAGGAGCCTTCCTCTTGTGACGCCCTGTGCAAAGGAAATGAGGCCTCATTCTTGTAATGATCCATGTAAAGGACTTGATCCTCCAATCTTGGCTTCAGATCTGGGCTATTCTTGTGATGATCCGTGTAAAGGATTTCTCAACCAGAGACCCCTTCAAAGCAGACCCCTCCACAAGGAGTCCCAGCAGAATCCTGATTGTAAACGATGTGTCAACAAAGGGCTTTTCAAAGCAGACCTCTTGAAAAGAAGTAGGTGGAAAACCCCTACAAAAGGAATCGAGGCCTACCTCCAAACCTACCTCCAAAATGATCCGTGAATCAGGCCTCATTATTGTAATGACCCATGTAAAGGACTTGATCCTCCAAGGAAAGGCAATCCCTTAGCTTCGGCGCATGCGGCCTACTGACGCCCCCCACCACGGGAAGGTGGATTGCCACAGGGGAGCAAAAACAAGCTTCCGTCATCGAAGCACCTTCGAGGGCGCCAGCCATCTCTGGAAGCTGCAGGCTGTGCTAGAACCCCCTAGCTTGATGTCTGCCCAATCACTGATTTATCGAGACGCATAAACATATATACACAGTTGTGCATTCACAGCACATAAGTACAGGTTCACATCACATCATAATTGTTTTTTGCTCGCAAATCTGTAGATTATTGTTTCTGTGGCACATTCCGCACGGGAGTGTGGAGCAGAGCGAAGGCAGTTCAAGAATAAGGCCCGAAAAGGAAGGTTCAGAAATGAACTTCATCTAGACCTACCTCATGCCATGCGAAGGAAGGTTAGAATCAAGCGTCGTCCAAACCTACCTCCAAAATGTCATGAATGTAGACTTATTGTGTCGAGCCCTACCTATCGCTGCTCCGAAAGCTCCCAAAGCACCTGAGAACAAGCTTCGGCCCCTGCGGCCGCGTAGTGCTTGATCGAGATCTCTCGTTGGTGCATTAAAAAGTGCGCTAGCACGTCCGGATGCACTTTCTTTTGCTGGGACGGCAGAGCTTCCTTTAAGGAATACTCCGCCGCGGCCCGCACATCCTTGACACTTGTCCTAGCAACGTTCTCCACGGCGCGGCGGAACACATTTTTGTCCCAGAAATCAAAAAGTGCCGCCTTGCCGTCAGCCCTCACTTCCCGATTGAAGTACTCGTGCAGGACGGGCAGATCCTCTGCCTCGTACTCACGAATGAGTTTGGAAAGGGAAGGGCTGAGGACTTTGCGTGCGACGAAAAACTGTCTAGACATTGCACTTTGGCCCCTCTTCAATCGCCTCTTCGTTTCAACCTTCGTTGGGCTGGCGCCGGTCGGTATGTACACGGCGTGCTCAGCTCCATTCTCATCAACAAACGCAAGGTTTTTGCCAAGGCGGAGGGTGTGCGTGGTCTGGAGACGGTTGCATGTCTGTACGGTGTACAGAAATGCAATCTTGGCAGCCCGGAGGCGTGCCAACCGATATTTCATGTACAGCCGGTTGGACGCTTTAGCCCCTTCCGCCAACTTCCCAATTCTGCCCGAGAGATTCGCGATCTTTTGGTCGTGCAAGGCTACGGAAGCCATCATCTGAGGCAAAGCCAAGGGAGCCGGCATCTCTCTCTTTAGAGGGCGTTTTCCAAATGGCTTATATTGTACCTGAGAGGCTTCTAGCACTCGTCCGTCCAGCATTTGACCTCGTCCTGCGAAGGATTCGAAGTCTAAAACGCTGCGTGCAGGCGTGTGGCTGCAAAATAGAGACCCCTAGATATGCTTGCAATTTGGCTCCAGGTTGCATTTCAAGCGAGCCAACCTTTGCAGGGCTAAGAAAAACAAAAAAAAAAAAAGAAAAAAAGGGGTCCAAAAAAAGGGGTCCCCGAAAAAAAGGGAAAAGGGGTTTCCTTTGGCAAAGCTTGACATCGCTTGAAATGCAACCTGGAGCCAAATTGCAGCGCATATCTAGGGGTCTCTATTTTGCAGCCTCACGCCTGCACGCAGCGTTTTAGACTTCGAATCCTTCGCAGGACGAGGTCAAATGCTGGACGGACGAGTGTCAGAAGCCTCTCAGGTACAATATAAGCCATTTGGAAAACGCCCTCTACAGAGAGAGGTTCGCCTGAGAACTGCTGAAAAGTCTTCTAAAGAGAGGGATACAGGGAATGCAGG